AGTGAAAGCGTATGGATGATTGACATCCCATACGAGATACAGACAGCAGACTTTTGATAAATCTTGCATGTGCAGTAAGTGTATTGTTTGCTAGACGTTCTTATTGTAAATCGTCTTGAGATTGCAAAAAATGTTCATTTTAAAGTCTGCCAAACTATGTTAATCAAATCAGAAATAACTAAGACTGCGCAAAAAAGCAGATTCAATTAAAAATCACAACCCTTTACAACAGCTATTCCAAGTAAAACGAAGTAGCGTATTGGAAGCGAAGTAGTTGTTATACTACGCACAGAAAACACTTCGTTCGAATTTTTAACTTCTGAAGTTAACATAATCACCGTAACAAAGTTAACATAAGTTAAATAACTAACTGCGTCGAAACGGTAGCTCTGCAACATTCATTTAAAATACTTGGTAATTAATATCGTGCAAAATGAGCGCCCAACAAAATATTGTGAAAAACATTCGTTTGCGCCACCAGACAAAATACCACAGGATCAATACCTGTTGCAAAGTAAGTAAATCGCCTAAAAGTGCTCGAAGGCAATGATTTGTTCTCAAACTCTGATCAACGAACACAAACAAACAAGTCGCTGATCCATAAACCACATTTTACCTTCTAGAGTAATATATAATACCAGTTTGTATGTAGACCTGCATTCCGATCAATCGATCTTACTTAACTTCTTAATTCAGGACAAAACTCCACTAATTTTGCAAATGCTACATCGACTACGTATCCCTTTTTTAGTGATTCGTTTTGACAACATGTCCAAGCAGGCAGACTAAAGCTGACTCTTATACAGAAAGCATAAATTCGGTTTAAGGCCTAATGTAATGATTTTCTTCATCCAATGTTAATTCGTATCCTTTGAAAACAAGTTATCGAAGTAAACCAAACTGTAAAGCTGACCGCACAGAGAACTCCGATATTTTGGGTTATCCAGGTTCTTATCTTTAAGAAGCTTTAGTGAAAAAGCTCAATTCTTGTGAACAATAAAAACAGTAGTTTTAGGCATAAATGATACCATATATTCATTCTCGATTGCTTGTTAGGTTCGCGGATTATTGCTCGATACGTTGGCAGACATTTCGCGCAGGTAACTGTCGAAATCGACAGCGGTGTTACTCCCAACCTCCAGTTCAGAATCGCAAAATTTGATGCATGCCATTCTGAAGGACCAGCGGAAAAGAAATTGCTGTGCGGGTGCACCTACAGATAGGCCAGAATTATGGAGCGATGATCGGGTACTTTGACAAACAGTCGGGACTGAACCTACGAACCGCTTTAAGCTTAAAACTACGAGTTTTTGTTCACAAAGATTGAGTTAACGGTACTCCCTTTCCTCATTCCACTGAATCGAAGACGACGTCGGATTACAATGAATTTATGTTAATTAAGTTTACGTATATAACGTATAGTTAACGTAAACAATTGAAATTGTTGTTTTGAAGAAAGAAGCAGATAAAGTGAAAGATCTGAAAATTTATAGTCGTTCATAGATTTTTTGCACTGTTACGCAAATACAGGCTGTCAAAATTTTATTTTTAATTAAACTTAAGTTATCGGTCCTCCAAGGAATAGAATATGGTTGATTCATAAATATTAGGACTGCAAGTCGCTGCTCCATTTTCGTTATTTACCAAAGTAGTCTGAAACTCTCACACCGCCATCCAATATTAAAACACGTATCACACGCACTTCATTGTTATATACACACAGCAATATCAATAACACCTGAAATAGTCATCAGAGATAAAATGACTATGCTTTTGTACAGGTTCGACTTCTGGAGTAAAATTAGAGCGATCTGAAGAGATGCTTGTCGATGAAGGCTGCCGTGTCACTTCTTAACATCAAGCGAACGCACTTTATTCTTAATCATACAAAGA